AGGAGGCAGAGGCAGGCGGATCTCTGTGAGTTTGAGGCCAGCCTGGTCTCCAGAGCCAGTGCCAGGATAGGCTCCAAAGCTACACAGAGAAACCCTGTCTCAAAAAACAGAAGGAAAAAAAATCTATATGACTTGTAACAAAGTCTACTTCCCACCAGAAAGTTTTGTTTGTTTTGTTGTTAGATAAGTTTTGTCTAATTTGTATGTACGGACAGACCGGTGCCTGTAAGTTTTCTTGTGGACATGGAACCACACAAAACTGCATGAGGCTCAAGTAAAAGCACAAACGTGCAGGGCCTCTGTATGTTTATTTCTGACTGGTCTTGGATGTGTGAGTTTACTGTATTCCCTGTGTCTTGGTGATAGTTCAGCTGCCTGGGCTAAGAATTTGCCTCTGGGCTTTCTGGCCACTGAATCTGATGAAATAACAGATTCATATGTCATTTGGGTATAATTAATATGAAACTTGTTTTATGCTGTCCTATTTTATTAAAAAACAGCTAAGGGAATAGGGTATGATTAAAAATCTGTAGCAAAAGTTAACTTAAAACTCTGAGTTGGAACTGTTCTGGAAAACAATCTTAAGTGCAGCCATGTGGGCAGTCACCATTTTGACTAGGGCTGGAGAAGCAGAATGGCATGTGACTTCAGCACCATCTTTGGACAGTCACACTGATGGCAGCTATCTTTGCTAGGGCTGGAGAAGAGGAATGTCATATGACTTCACTGCCATCTTAATTAAAGGTGACCACATAGAGTGGACCTACCAAGGAGACAACAGGTCTCCAAGATATTTTGGATTAGGATGGATTATTAAATGATAATCCCTGTCCTGAAAACAAGATCCATAAACACTGGGATTTAAAACAATGCTGGTTTAATGAGGCATTAAAGCTGTTCCTCCATGTGTTCCTGTACAGGGATGTATCCTGCTGGATAAGAGTAAACCTCTTGGTATTGATTCTAGAGACACTGAATTGTTTACACTGTTGAAACTTGGTTTTGCCTTCTACAAATTATGGTTGTGCTCTGTGTCTTCATTCTTGAAATAAAAAAGGTAGTTTAGTTGGATATTAACAGAATACACAGTTGAGAGACCTTAAACTTCCTTAAAAGAAAATTTTAGAGTTTAGTAGAAAGTTTAAATAAACTGAATATTTTCAAGAAACAGTTTAAAATGCTTAAAATTGTGAATTTATATGGCTCTGGGCCATTTAAAAATTTATAAGACATTTTATTATAATGCCTTTATTATTATATGATCTTAATAAATAGAGGACTAAAAAAATAAAACATAGGACCACAGCTAAACACCAGAGACTAAGGTATTCCTATCTCATGATGCAGTAAGATGGCAACCTAAGCAGTCTAGCAAAGAGTCTCTCCTTACCGAAGGTCTTTTAGGCTAACAGAGACTGATTTAGAAATATATATCTAAGCTCCTTGCTTTTACTAACATCGCTAAGCTGTAGAAAACTGTTGTGTTCTACAATGGGGTACTATAAAAGGATCAGCAAAGATCCCAGAATCTTTGTGGACTGTGTTTATGAGTTGAAAGTCTCATCTTGATATTAAAAGAGTTTCAACTCAGAAATTGTTATTTTCTAAGGCTAAACTTAACAGGGATAAAGCTATAATATACTATTCTTATAAGGCAAACAAGTTATAAAATCCTAATCTTATAAAACAAACAAGGTATAAAATCTCAATCTTATAAAACAAACAAGTTAATAGTCACCTCATAAAGGATCAAATTCTTTGATATTTTCAAATCTAGCTTCTTATGTTTTCAAAGTTATGCCTAAAACAAGTAACTAGAAAACAAGCAACGTTTGTCTTATTTAGATACATCTAACAAACAATGGTCCTCAGATGTTTCAGAGATTTGAGAATATGGCATTTAAAATGTTTAATAAAGAGTTTTCATGATAGAGACATGCCAGATCCTGGAGCACCCCATCTCTTCCAAAGAAGATGAGTGGGCACAGAAGAACCTCCACCTGGAGGCAAAGCTGGCCACTGGGTGAAAAACTGCTGCCAGGATGCTGTCAAGACTATGGACAAGGACACCGAGGAGCTGATTGATTGCCTTTGCCTAGAAAAAGTAGGCTGGTCCTGCCAAGTTCCTACTCCTCAGGAGAGTGTGTCAGATCTTCTGAGCCTGGTAGCTGAAGACTCATGCTGCACTGAGAACTCTACCCCCACCCCCCAATGATCATAGAAGAACCTGTGGTGGTTGTCTAGGTAGCCAGTAAGTCCTTCTCATTTTAACAAAATAGGAAGCTGCTTCAGGTCTGCTTACTCAGGTGAAATTTATCCTTCTCAGATCTGATAGGGTTTGATGACTAGGCTAATGATAGCTTTGCCAGTTTAACACCCTTTACCCCAAGACTACAAACATGTTGGCTGATCATTAGTTAAGTTTGTTAAAAATGCAGACAAGTTTGCCTTGTTCACAGGCTTCATAGTTAAGGATAACCAGGTTTTATGTGTAACTTTCCATTAAAGAAACACAGAAAATGATTTAATATGCACAAATGCAAATTGTAAAGTTATAAATGAATGATTTAAGGCTTGTAAAGATATTTCAGACTTATGTTCCCTTGCTATGCTATTGTTACACTGGGATTTCTGAGGTTCAGGATTTCAGCATTGGTAAATGGAGTTCTGATAGAGCACTGTCTACTTAATATTCAGTCACAAGCTCGGGATTTTAAATTTCCTTTGGTTGTCTTCTAAGTATGCACCTGAAGGTGTGTTTCATCAGGCTAAAAACAGGCTTTCTAGACATAGGAAAAATCTTCATGCCTTTTAACCAAAAGCCTTTGCTATGACACCAAGGTGTGAATCGGTTTCAGCTATTTTACGGACACCTTCATGTTCCAAGGGACAGGGTGCTCTTACTGTATCAACGAATCAAGCCTGGTGAAAAATAATATAGTCACTCCACAAACTGTCTGAAGGACTTTGCCAATACAACCTGAGCACATCTCTGTTCCATTCTTTCTGGCAGTCTTCCCTCTTTCCATGGCTAGCCCCATTCATAGGGCTGGTGCTGTCCTTTTTTTTCCTCCTAGCACTTGGCCTTCTCTGCTTCCTCCAAGATTCCTGAGGTCTCCAGGGTGGCAGTTAACCAAATACTTCTTCACCCATTCCTCCTGCTGAGCATGAGCCCACCAACTCCTGACTCCTCCTCCCCACGTTGTCCCAAGCCATCAGGAAGTAGCCATATTTGAACCATACCCATACACTCCCAAAAGGTTAGGCTGTTTGATTGGAATCTCCAGCTTGCCCCTGTATGGTCCAGAAAGCCTCATCCCTGTCTCTCTCTCTCTCCAAGCTCTGCCCACTCAGAGAGTCTCTGAACAAAGGAAGGGTGCCAAAAAATCCCAGTTCTGCATTGTTGGTGACTACTGAAGCTTCCTCCTCTGCAGTTGCCAGCCACCCTAGTCCCAGCCTAAAGTATTCATCTTTTGACCAAACTTGGGCACAAATCCAGCTTGTGGTGGGTACATCATCACCCCTCACCTGCAATGTATAAAGTCTCCCTGCTTTAGTTTGGAGGTGCAGCTTCTCCAGCCTCAATCTCAAGGACTGGAGAACTCACCTGGGAGTTGCTTTGCTCAAATAAACCTGTTATACTCTTTCAATTCAGCTTGATATGGCTTATTGCATTGGGGAAGAAAACCTATAATAAGGACTTAGGAGCTAAGGAAAAGCAAGGTGAGATCCTGGTGGCAGTGAGAAAACCCAAAACTTATTAGAAATGACTGGAGAGGTTTGGACAAAAGAATGTCATATGCCTCATTTATGTACTCATGGGTGGTATATAGGGACATTTTCCTCATTCACATATAAAAGTTACAATGGTAAGCCAGGACAGAGAACTCTGGAGTTCAGAGAAACAGGAAGCCAGGATGAAGAATGTTCAAGCATCTGAAACAGCAATGGGCTCCTGCACACTAGTAGAAGCAGAGTGCCTTGGGGGCCTCCACATAAGAAAACCCAGTGAGCTAAGGTATAGAGGGAATATACATATGAGGCTTTGGGCACAAGGCTAGAAAGGGTTGGGTGGGTTTGCGGTACCTGTATGGGAATACTTGGGGGGCATGAATCAAAATGACAGAAAACCTACCCAGTTTGAATGGGAGAAGGATCTGGATATGATTCTGCATATGGCAAGGAGGTAGACAAAAAAAAAAAATGAGTTTGATTTAGAAAACTTGACCAATCTGGATTCATGTGTGATATAAAGAAGAATCCCTACAACACCTGGAATGGCGAGAACAATCTCCATAGGTGAGTGATGGGACATGAAAGCAATCCACACAACATGTGGAATGGGGAGGACATTCTATAGATGAGTGATGGGACACGGCACTATATTCACATAGCATTCCCTGCCATTTCCTGAAATAGGGAAAACATCTCAAGAGGATTATGCCTCAATTTTCACTCCCAGTTTTCTGGACTTTTATTTCTTGGTCCAAAGTGGCAATGAGTGTAAATGACAGCTGCTGGCTTCCTATCTTGAAGTACTCTTTGAGAAAGACTAAAACTTCAAGTGTTGATCTAATGCAATTTCTAATTATTTATTATCTAATTCAGGTTTGTACTTTGTAACTGCCTCCTTCCAGTTTTCCTAGGCATTTCAAACCCTGAATGTTGACACTGTCTATATAATGGCACTTGTGACTGAAAAGCATCACACAAAAATATTCCTTTACTTCGAAGTCCTGAAATAGAAAGATAATCACGTTGATTAGGCAGTTCGGTAGGTCCTCTGTTATGACCACCCAGGACTGCCAGCACAGGTCTGGTTGCCACCCTTTGTGCAATATTCAAGTGGGAAAAATAATTCCACTCAACTTTGTCAATGATTAGTTTTTGGGTTTTTTATTATTTTGTTTTGTTTTTGCTGTTTGGGGGCTTGCTTTTGTTTGTTTTGTTTTGTGTTTAAGACATTCTTGAAACTACTAATACTCACTACTAATACTCACGTGAGCTTTTCAGCAGGATTCTGGGTATGAGGCCACCACCATGTAGCAGGGTCTCCAGAAGCAGGTCCCATTTACAGCATGGTTGGGATAAGAGTAGTTTTAACTGACCCTCGGCATTCAGTTCTCCAGCTGACATAGGCCTTTCAAAACGAAAGATAAGATGGAGTAATAAAGTTAATCTGTCTATGAAATTAATAGCCTTAAAGTCCAGATGTAATGCCAACTCCTGTAAATGTCGATTCCTCCCAGATTACTCTGAAAATGCTTTCATGCTTGCTTACTTTAGGGTTGCTCAGGGAAGGAATTACACTTAATCTCAACTAGCTAAAAGCAAATTAATGCTTGGTAGCCTGCCAAACCTAAAGCTGATAGAAAATAACCATGCCTATATTTTACAGAACTCTTCTTTTTCTTTTTCTTTCTTTTTTCTTTTTCAAGGAGAAAAGAAAAACCACTTACACATTTATTTTGAATGTCATCATTTTTTCACCCACTAAAGACATAATGACTGATTACTATATACTATTAGCTTTTTTTCTCATTTGGGGAAAGTTGTTCTAAGGGGCTTTTGAATACTTGGGATGTTGATTTATACTGAAATTGTTGGTAAAACTAAAGGAATTCAAAACTTCTGTGAAAGGTCCACCAAAATCTAATTATTTAATTAGAAAATTCTTAAACCAACATGCAATTATCAGAGTTAATGCTACAATTCACCCTATGACCTAGTTAAGCAGTGTCATCAAAGAGAAATAATTCCAAGATAAACAGGCTTCTGCTTTCTAAACTGTCATCAGTTTTGAGCAGCAAATCAGCTTCCCCGGAGTACTACTTTCATTTCCTGTGTAGCAGCAGGGCATGAGAGAGCAGGAATTATCAATAGCATTGTTCAACTTTTCCTTCTAAAATCCCCGAATTTGGGTCATATAAAAGTCATAACAAGAGAGACAAACTTACAATAACAGCAAAAGTGAGAAAGAAACATGCCCTGTGGTGGTGGCTACAAGGACTGTGAAAGTAAGCTGCACAGGGAAGGAAAACTGTTATTTGAATGGTGTGAAAGTGGGGATGTGAGAGGGACACACACAGCACAGGGAGGAGAGGACAGTTTGCTATACTGTCATTAGCAATCACTTCCTAAGCGGTTGGTCCCTAGATACCAACATATCTAACCCCTGACATCAGCATGAGAGAATATGCTAAAATGCAAACATGCAAATTCTGCTTGTTTCTCATTCTCAAACCTAGGTTGGCTCAGAACTCAATTCACAGGATTGCCCAGTCTTGCCTCAAACTCAAGGTAATCCTTCTGCCTTGGAATCCCAAATAATGGGATTGTGGGTAGGAACCATCAATCACCTCTGGCTAAAATTCTTGAGCATCCTCTCATTAGAAAGCGCAGAGGTAGACCACAGAAATCTGCACCCTTACAAGGTCTCTCTAGGAAATCCTGCTGCATGTTATGGTTTGGAACCAATGCTGCATGTTACAGTTTGGGAACATTGCTGGATGTTACAGATTGGGAACATTGCTGCATGTTACAGATTGGGAACATTGCTGCATGTTACAGTTTGGGAACATTGCTGCATGGTCCAATTTGGGAACATTGCTGCATGTTACAGTTTGGAACTATTGCTGCATGTTACAGTTTGGGACCACTGTTACATGTTACAATTTGGGACCACTTCAGCACAGTAGTAGAAACAGAAAAGATTCATAGCACCTTTCAGACCACTGGGTCTTTGTACCCATCCAAAATTGGCCTTGACTTGCTGCCAATGATAGACTAAATGTTTGTGTTCCTCCAAAATTTAAATGTTTATACTTTAATTACAATGTAGTATCACCTGAAGATGAGGACCTTGCAGGGGAAGGTTGGGTCAGGAGGTGATGTCATGAATGGGATTAGATGAAGAGGAAGAGAATTATCTTGCCCTACTCTGACCATAAAGATATAAGAATTCTTCCTGTTAGCAACCTGGATGAAGGCCTTCACCAGAACCTCACTGCTGGAACCCTCACCCCTAGTATCTGTCACAGCACCCTGTATTAACTAGGACACCATTTATCCATAGAGCTTTGCATAACTCTACATTTACCTTAATCTTACCCATCTATCCTAGCTAGTTTTAATCAAGTTGACACACACTGAGTTCTTTGAAAGAAGAGAATTCAACTGAGAATCTTTGTAGGGCATTTTCTTAGTGAATATTGTGGAAAGGCCCAGCCATTGTAGGTGGTACCACAACCCTGGACTGGTGGTCCTGGGTTCTATGAGAAAGGCAGGCTGAGAAAGACATGGGAAGCAAGCCAGTAAGCAGCACTCCTCTATGGCCCCTATATCAGCTCCTACCTCCAGGGTCCTACCCTGTTTGAGTTCCTGTCCTGACTTCCTTGGATGATGAACTATGATGTGGAGGTATAAGCCAAAAAAACATTTGGCTTTTTTTCCAAACTTGCTTTCGGTTGTGGTGTTTTATCACAGCAACAGCAACTCTAAAACACTACCCTTTAATTTATAGCAAAAATTCCACTTTCTCTGAAAATTCTTCACTAAATGTTTCTCTTCAGCATGGCCTCTGAGGTAAAGAATTTATGACAAGCTTACACATTTCAGCACTTACTATTTCATCAAGTAAGATTTTATCTCTCTTTCTAGACTCAAGTGTCTTGAGGATACTTGTTTTCTATTACTCAAAATTTTTACCACTGTAGAATGCAGATATTACTGATGCTGCTGGCTGACTGATTTGATGTGTTAGCATGTGCATGGACAGGCAAAGAAGAAGAAAAGAAAAGAAAGAACTTTGCATTTAGAGCAAGAGGGTTGAAAATGAGAAGGATCAAAGTTATAATTAAAGAAACTTCAAAGCATCTCCTCTTTGGCATGGCATCAGAAACATTTCACAACTTCAGGATGCACACATTTCTTCAGTCTGTACTTAAACTTTGGATGAATTTAGGCTTTCCTTGTGAAGCCTTGATATTTAGTACCAAAAGTAACTCCTTGGGCATTTGGGCAATGCTAGGTAGGGGGATTTTTGCCGTGGGTAGCCAATGAAGAAAGAAGAATAAGTAGCCTAATTCTCAGCCAGGGGAGTCAAAGCCATGGCTACTGAGAACCCCTGGAATCCAGAGTACTTTCCATGTACTGTGCAGGATCTTTGAAGTTTTGAGCCTAGTTCCAAAAGACACCAAGGCCAACACTATTTCCTCTCTGAACCTTGGGTGTTGGGTTCCTAAGAAGCCCTGCAGGTTACTATAGAGGAAAAGCAGCTAGTAGCAATTGTTACAAGTATCCTTGGTTAGTTAACCTTTCCTAAATACATACTACACTTGAGTTAGTGATACAGCTAAAGGACAGTTTTTCTAGAAGATATAGTGAGGATTTCTGACAGACAGTTGGAAAATGACAGAGAAAGATCATGGGGAGCCCTGGTCTCAAAGTGGGAATCTGTATCTATTGAAGAGTTTAAAACAAGGGAGATTTGTTCCTCTGCCCTTCTCAGAAACACCTGAGGCCTGGAACTGCACACTGCTGATCCCATCCTGGCGGGATCCAGCCCACCCAGAGACTGGCAAGAGAGACATCAGAGTAATAGATCTGTTTGCACCCACCTGAAGGGAACCTTGGCCCCATTCCTACCAGGAAGGAAAGAGACCCCTTCTACACCCACAGAAGAAGGGATGGGAAGAAGACAATATAAAAACATATTCAACAACAAAAAAACCAATATGACACCACTGAAGTCTAGGGACTCTACACCCGCAAGACCTGAACATCACAATGCAAATGAAGGAGAAAAGAATGACCTTAAAATCAACTTCATGAAAATGATAGAGGCCCTCAAAGAGGATATGAGAAAACCCCTTAAAGAAATTGAAGAAAAAAACAAATCAAAAAATAGAAGAAATCAACAAATCTCTTAAGAAAGCAGTTCAAGACCTAAAAACTTAAATAGAGACAATAAAGAACACAATCTGAGGAAATGCTGTTGATTTCTTGTATTTTTTGGTTTGTTTTTTCTTCCTAGAAAGGCTGGGTAAATGATCAGGAACTACAGTTGCAAGCATAAACAAGAGAATACAAGAGATGGAAGAGAGAATCTCAGGCATTGAAGATACACAAGGAAAAATAGACTCATCCACGAAAGAAAATCTTAAGTACAACAAATCCCTAACACAAAATATCCACGAAATATGGGACACCATGAAAAGACCAAACCAAAAAAAAATATGTAAAGAAGAAGGTGAAGAAACCCAACTCACAGGTGCAGAAAACATATTCAGCAAAATCATAGAAGAAAACTTTCCCAACCTAAAGAAAGACATGCCAATGAATGTACAAGAAGCCTACAGAACACCAAATAGAGTGGACCACAAAAGAAAGTCCCTTCACCACATAATAATCAAAACCCCAAACATACAGAATAAAGAAAGAATATACAGAGCAGCTAAGGAAAAATGTCAAGTAACACATCAAGGCAACCCTATCAGAATCACACCTGACTTTTCCATGGAAACTCTGAAGGCCAGAAGGTCCTAGATAGATATTCTACCTACACTAAGAGACCACGGATGCCAGCCCAGACTACTATACCCAGCAAAGCTTTCAATCAATATAGATGGAGAAAACAAGATATTCCATGACAACACCAGATTCAAACAGCACATACCCACCGATCCAGCCTTACAGAAAGTTCTGGAAGGAAAAATCCAACCCAAGGAAGTTAACTACAACCAGAAAAATATAGGCAATAGATAATTCCACTTTACCAACAGCCAAAAGAAAAATATGGTGGAAATCCACACAAAATTCCACCACCACCAACAAATCCAAAACAAATAAGAATGAACAATCAATGGTCATTAATATCCCTCAATATTAATAGTCCTAACTCACCTATAAAAAGACACAGACTAGCAGAATGGATATTCTGAAGACAGAATCCATCCTAATGCTGCATATAAGAAACACATCAATTTCAAAGACAGACAGTACCTCAGAGTTAAGGGTTGGAAAAAGTTTTTCCAATCAAATGAACCCAAGGAAAAAGCAGGGGTAGCAATCCTAATATCAAAAAAATTAGACTTTAAACTAAAATCAGTCAAAAGAGATGAAGGAGGTCATTCCTACTCA